CACAGGCTGCAGTTCTTCACAAACTGCTCCAGGATGGGTCCTTTCCACACGGTGCAGTCCTTCAGGAACAGACTGCTCCAGCATGGGTCCCCCTCTGTATGCAGAGCTAGTATTCTGCATACAGAATGGGGTCACAAGTCCTGCCAGCAAACCTGCTCCAGTGTGGGCTCCTCTCTCCATGGAGTTACAGGTCCTGCCAGGAACCTGCTCCAGCACAGGCTTCCCACGGGGTCACAGCCTCCCTTCAGGCATCCACCTGCTCCGGCATGGGGTCCTCCACGGGCTGCAGGTGGATATCTGCTCCACCATGGACCTCCATGGGCTGCAGGGGAAGCTCTGCTCTGGTGCCTGGAACACCTCCTCCCCCTCCTTCTTCACTGACCTTGGTGTCTGCAGAGCTGTTTCTCTCACACATTCTTACTCCTCTCTCCGACTGCTGTTCTGCCGCAGGTTGGGTTTTTTTTTCCTTCTTAAATATGTTATCACAGAGGCGCTGTGATCTTCCTGGAGATAACTTTCTATTTTCCCCAAAGGTATCAACTTGGCTTTTAAAGATTAAAACATTTCTGCCACTTTAAGACTATCTTTAGAAATTTGTTTATTTCTTGTTGCTCTTTGCAATACTTTTCAAATAATATAATCAGCAAAAATAACTGATAAGCCATTTTCCAGATTTTTCATTTTTTTAATGAAAATATTAAACATTGTCAGAATAAGTTGTTCACTGTGAAATTAGAAAAGATGTGGTTTGCTTTGTAAGGATGCTCTTTGCAATTAATCACCTATTGTCATAGTAAAAAACCAAGCCTTTCTAAATTATCTCAATTTCAATTGGGTTTCTCTGAAGAAAATATGGATTTGGGGTATTGTTTTATTTCAGTATATGGTGTGATATCATAGCATAATAACTGCTGGTTGTTTCAGTACATTTCTTACTCTGTACACAATGCCTTTTAATCAGTTCAGTGAAACATATCTTGTTGTCTTAGTGATATATATCATAAATTAAAATCAGTACAATATAAAAAATAACACTTAAGAATAGAGAAAATAACTTCTAGTCTATCCAAAAACAGTCTGCAGAGCTCTCACTTGTGGTCTTAACTCTCAGAATTGCTTATAGCTCTTTTGATCTCTGGGGTAGCAGGTAGTGGCCTACAAAGCTCCTCACAGGTCTCTTGTATTCCCTTGGTTGCCTGTTTCTTACCTGTAGAATTTTTCTTTCGGTGACATCTTGACCAGAGTCTTCAAAGAACCTGCAAAATGATTCTCTTCATTTTTCTGCCTCTCTGTGCTCTGCAGTGCAATTCCACCTTCCAGGCAAATTAAAATAAATATCTTGTATGTCCTTTCCCTGCTTTCTCTAGAAATGCTGGTTTTATCAATAAGGAGTAGGTCTCTGTGCATTAGTTTTGTATTGAGGGTAGTATTTGTTTAGTGTATAAAACTGGCAAATATCTCATGGATTTGGTTAATTAAGAAATTTGTTCTTGCTTTTGACATTTTTTATTTTAACATTATTGAGCTTTCAGCTGTTACTTTAGCTCTTTCTCTTTTGGTTAAAGAATTGGAGAATTGCAGAGTCTATTGATTTCCAGACTGGCTTGCAAAAACTTTATTCAGACATCTATACTTTACTGGTTAATGAACAGCACTCTGTTTCAAACACAGATGAAATTCCCCCTGTCTCTCCTTTGGTGATTTCACCCAGAACTGTGTTCCACTGGTCCTTATATGCTTTATCAGTGTGTATGCTAATAAGTGTACTTCATTCACAGGATAAAAGTCTGTGGTTCATTACTGACTCTCAGCTGAGACTACACGTAACATGACTTGATTGCTTTGAAGTGAGGAGAGAGTATCTGATCCTCAACATTGTTATGTTAATGTAATGTAATGATGATGTGCTATTTTTCCTCTTTATGTATACACACACACACAGAGCAGCTTACACCTAAACATAGGAGGAAGTTATTTATGAATTAGAGTGGTTCATAAGTCATAAGTCATGAGTCCCCATCCCTGGAAGTATTTAAAAGACGTGTAGATGAGGCGCTTAGGGCCATGGTTTAGTGGGCATGGTGGTGTTGACTTAATTGTTGGACTTGATGATCTTAAAGGTCTTTTCCAACCTTAGTGATTCTATGATTCTATGATTCTATATATATCCTATATGGTCCTAAGGCCATACAATGGGTATGAATACTCAGTTGGAAGTATCGAACATTCTTGGAACCATAAAATGGACTGAATTAATGAGGTTTTGCTTAGGTGCTTACCGAACATTTTCCAGGAAGAAAACTATGAGCAATCTGGAGTAGAAGACCAAATACTCGGACTCTCAGAAGATTCTGATGGGAAAAGAATTACAGTTTTATGAACCAGAATTTTTCCAGTGCCAGGTGGATCTCTATAAATATTCTTTACTTGGTTACTGTCTTCAGAACAAAAAGTCAGTTATATCAGTTGTCGTAGCCACCAGGAACTGTCTGAAGAGCTATTTCTGCAAAACATTATCATCAGATTAAGATTTGCAATTCTTCCCTTTCTTATCATCGTATATTAATTTGATTCTTACAAAATTTGTGGAAACTTCTTTGAAATTGCTGTGTATCTGGCATCTTTTTTTCACAGAGAGTATTGTACCCTGGGACAGTGAATTCAACTTTTTCAATTAGATGCAGACAGTCACTTTAATACATCCAGCTTTTTAAAAAGATTTTTCTGAAAAGCCTACATAAAATGTCCACGTGGTAGCCTTTTAAGCTATTGTAACTGGGAAGGCTTTTGCTTAGACCATTTATGCCTTCTATTATCCTAATTCAAGATTAGGTCCAGGATGTAAGCAGGTGTCTGCATGGCCTTAGCTCATATATTTGTGAAGGAATCATGTTGTTTAAGTTCAGAACCATGAGTGAAATCTGATGTCATTTCATTGTTACTTCATTTTTTTCTGAAATACAAGTCTTTCTTGAACCCAGACTCTGTATTTAACCCCATAGTAGTTTCCTATCCCAAATTTTTAAACTGAACTTTGGATTAGTTTTTAATTGTGGACATTTCTGTTTGAAGTATATTATACACAATCGTTACAATACAATTTTAATTAAAAATGCAATAATCAATTTGTATGTTATTCTAAGGAAAAAAGTCAGTTTTATTACTTTTTTTATTAATGCATCATACTGACCACACATAAATGGTAAATTTGGATATTTTGATTATTATAAATCTCCAGTTTGGTGCATGGCAATTCATTTCTATACTTTTAAAGTATAACTATAGGAACTATAGCTGTACATAAATTAAGCATAAAAACAGGAATCAACTTTACGTGTGTATTTTTTATTACAAAACCAAGAAGACGACATTATAACATTCTTGATCAAATTCCATCTTTTATCATGCTTCTAAGTACTACAGATATGGTAGGAAATTAAAAAGTACAATTTCAGATTCATTGAATATTTGCATTTCTTTTTAGATTATCGACATAATAGAGATCTTCAAAGTTCAACGCTATCAGTGCCAGAACAAGTTATGTCATCTAATCATTGCTCTCGATCAGGGTCCCCTCACCGTGGAGATAGTATAGGACGGACTAGATCGTGGTCTCCCAGTGTCCCTCCCCCACAAAGGTAAACTGTTATTTAACTATGCAGGTATATAAATTTAAGTGGTATTGATCCTGTAACAATAATGGAAAGAATCTCCAGACTTTCAAAATGGCAATGAATTAGTTAGATCTTATGAAACTATGTAAAGCCAATAATCTTTTTTCTTACATTATACTGATGTGCAAAAATTCACCTAATTTTGTCTTATTTTTTATCAAAAATCAGCACATTCTAATCTAAGGACAGAAAAATATTTCTCCAGGTTTTAATTTTCAAGAGCTATTTAAGAGGTGCCATGTTTTATAGCACGTGATGGTTTGACATTTTCTTAGTGTTCATTTGTCAGCGGCTGTTTCCAACCCTTTTGTTTGTGTTGAATTAAGGTTCTGGGAGAGCCGTACTTCCTGCCCATAGAAGCTTGCTTTCTACTATTTTTTTCAAACTTTTAAAGCATCAAGAATAAATTGACACACATACAATTTTATACTGAAAAATGTCAACTCCTGATCTTAGAAGGCCTCTGATAACTATTTATCTTGTGAAACACAGATCAGAACATTTCTTCCAAAAGCTAGCCATTTTGGATAATTACTACTACTTGATTGAATATAATGTTTAAGCCAGAATTAAGAATCTTCCTGCATGGATGAGCTTCTTAAGAGGAAGTAGAAGGATAGATGTAAAGGGGAATGAAGCCTGTTTTCCAGCATTTTTGTCACTATCTATGGGTAGGTTTCCAGCTGGTGTAATTCAGCTGGAATAAAAGGGGAAGTTATTTTCTTTGCCCATAATGTTCCCAATTCCCATTTAATACTGAAGATCTGGTATCCAATATTTCCTGTCAGGTACATGTGTCTCTCTCTTTCTTCTACAGCCATTCTGATTCTCTTGTGTTCTGCTTTCTTTTCTGTTACCTTTGTTTTTTTTGTTAGCTTAAAATTCTCTTGACTTCATATTCTCTTACTTATGTGTTTACTTACCATTTCCTCTAACAGATACAGACTAAATTATATCCTTTTGCATTAGTGTATTAGGATCCCAAATTATCCCATATCATCACAGACAGCTAACAGGCAGAAACTGTAAGTTTCTACTCGAAATCTAAAACCATATGTAAACACAGCCTGACTTTAAATGAGACATAAACAGTAGACACAGAGGGGCCTATTCTGATTTCTACTATACTGATTTCAGTCTAAGTAATTGCCTATGCTAAAACTCCTGGGGTTATTTGTCTTGGATATAGACATAAATGTGAGGAAAATATCTTTCTGTATGTGTGTTTGTGTTTTTGTGTGTGCATGCATGCTGTGTGCATTTTGGGCAGAACTTTTACCCAAGCTAGTAATTAACACTTGTCTAACACCATTGAAAAACCCTCTTTTCATTTTCTTGTAGTTTTGCATTTCTTTACATGTATGAAACGTTTCTTGTTTCCTGATTTTCCTAAAGCTAAATTTTTAAAAATAACTTTGAACTTACAGAGAAAAATGTTTCAGCTGTTTCCTACAATGTCACAATCAAATGCATTATCTATGTAATATTTCCGTGCCCACACACCAAAACATTTCTTTGAGGACTTGTTGAGCCCAGAGAATTGGGTTGCCAGAACTTGAGAGCTTGTAGAAAAGAAGCATAATCCGTGGGTTACAGAAATGTCTTTTTTAATTCTAATGAAAATCCAGGTGTACTCGGCAAAGCTATAAGCATTATTGTGTGCTGCTATAGACATGTTCTAACTGCAGTAAGCCTGCTGCACACCCAGAGATCTCCCAATTACTGATTGATGCCTCTGCAGGCAGGAGCTCTTGGGTTGTAGAAGTGCAAGTTGCTGTTATATCTTAGAAGCCATTTTGCAGTCCTCAGTCCTTCTACTGGATTTTGTTAATAAACTCCACCAAAGCCACATTGTGTAGTAGCTGACAAGAAATTGTTGCTGCTCTTGTAATGTTTTCAGCTAATATATTTAATGGACTGTTATTCTCTCTGTAGATAAGAATGGAGTTTAGACTGTGGCAGGCACTGAACAACATCATGTTTAGCTTTATCTAAGACAGTGCATTTGAAAAAGCAAGATGAAGGTGACTATAGAAAGTGGCTAGGCTGAAATGGCATGGTAAATCTAGTAGGATGCTCATTATTCTCTACCGTCACCACCTGCAATTACACCTTTTCACATGCTTACCTATTATCTGGTTTCTCCGTACACATTCTGTCAACTGCAAGAAAGTTCCAAAGGAGTAAAGACATATGTTGTGAAAGCAACTTTTCTTACAGAACAAGTTTCATTGGAGAAAGTATGTCATTTTCTGTTAAACAGTAAATCTGGCTGACAAAGGCATCCTTAGCAGACTGAAACAGAACTGAAATAGTAGTAACACTTGAAGTAGAAGAAATACAGTTGTGTAGGATGTTAAAAAGCAGCATGAAGTCAGAATCTGATATAACACAGAAATTTAAAGAAGAAATTATATATTTAGAACGATAAGCCAATAACACAATCTTATTGAAAGTGATTTGAGCAGACAGGATGGTACTGAGTTTTCAGGACTAAAGTCCTGAGTTTAGGCAGGCGTTTTGATTGTGTGGGCAGACAGTAAAGGTCAGATCTTTGGGAAGTTTTGCAAAGAAATGACAGCTTGAGAAAGTTTAAATATTTAAGTCAAAAGAAGAGATGAGTAAAAGAAGACGATAATACTATAGACAGAAAAAAACCCAAGATTTTTTTTTTTTTTTGAAACCTGAATGAAAAGAGAGACCCTGAGGAAACAGGTCAGACAGAAACTAGAATTCAGAAAGGAGGAATGAGAATTGGTTGTTGGTAAAAGTAAAAAAGTTAACAAAGAACAGCAGAGGAGCCCTGTCAATGTCTGTTTTAGAGTACAAATATACATTAAAGAGTCCAATGGCAGGGTAAAGGCTATACTGGATTTTCTATCATTTTGGTATAAATAAGGGTGTTAAAACACGTACAGAGAAGAAGTTGCAGGAAAGAGTTGTAGAGTAGAAGGTAGAAGAATTATACTCACTTTTAATATGGCAAATATAAAGTTTACTAGCCAGAGTAAACTTTATATTTGGCTTCATGAAAGCCAGAGTGGAGAAATGCTTTATGAGAAATGAAGTAGAGCTGAAGGCAAAAGTTTATGTGTAGTGCAACATCTTCACAGCACTTATATGCAGAAATAAACAACAGTATGACAGCAGCAGTGAAGGATACACATACAGGTTAACACTAATCAGGGACTGGCAAATGACAAAGGATAAGGATGACAGGTACCAAAAGGGCAGACAAAGTGACAAGGAAGGACACAGGAACTAAATTGGGATAAAAGTGAAAAAAAAAAATGAGGCCCACATTAGGGAAGGCTGCAGGAAAGGACAGGAGGCAGAAGAATTTATTGGTCTAAAGTTTGAATTTGTGTGGAGGGAAGCGTACCTAATTAAACAGTCCTGTCTTTTTCAGATTCTATTCTAGTGAGATTACAGAATAAGCTTTCCAGTGCAAAACAAGCATCTGTTGTTTAATTCAGATGACAATTTTCAGCAGACTGCACTCCACCATAACAGCCAGAAGTCCTCATTGTGTCTTACTACAGTTTACATCTTTATAATATAGCCAAACTCAAGAGCTCATGGAAAATTCTTTACCGTGTATGTTTCAGCTAGAAAGGAAATTTTTCTTGAAGGTCCTAGTCTGGAAAGACTAATGAAATTTTGTCTAAAATTAACCTTTTTAATTAAAATAAAAAATGTTATCCTCTCATTTCCAGAACAAACAAACATTGAAACAAAAGAAAAAAACACCTCTCTCTAAGCATAGACTTAGCACCCTTTCCTGTAGGAGAAAATTTTTTTACCATGAGATTTCAAATTATGTGAGAGTACAAAAGACAAAAGACAGGTCAGCTAATACTTCTCTACCACCATGTTTGCTAGTAATTGTCTGTACAAACCAGTGAGGGGATATGGTCCAGGTGGACCCAGAACTCAGAATCTGATGTCTTTTATCCTTAGTCGGAATGTGGATCAGGGACCACGAGGGACTCGATCTACTCCTGTGCATTACAATACCCTGAACCGAATGGATAGACACCGTGTTATAGATGACCACTACTCCCCGGACAGAGAGAGGTAAATATCTGACTGGAATTAGAAACAGCTGTAGCCTACACTCATCAACGTGAATTACTTCAGCATGGTAGCTCACTAAAGTAAATACCAAAATTACTTACCTAATCCCACAGATGAACATTTCACTACTCATTTATCCACTGGTTACATGATATACATTAAAAAATATACCATGCACACAAGGCTGACAAAACTATCAAGTCAGTGTATCTTTGCCAAGAGGGAATCTGAAAAATCTATGAGAAATTGTACAATATAAAAGACAAAAAGCTTAGTTGTCCTTTTTTATAAAAATATTTTTATGTACTCTATTAATAAATTCTTTAAGTGCTGAATATCTTTAAAAAAATCTAACAGTAGATTTGGTCATTTTTGCTGCTGAATAAAGAGGCATAAAAATGCATAATTTCAGCTCAGTATAAATGTAATGCTCCCATTGGATACAGTGCAATTCACAGACATAACGAAAGTATATTCTAGCACTGTGTTTGTCTTTTCTCAACTTTATGAGCTTTTTTTTGGGGGGGAGGGGGGGAAAGAATATGGAAATGTGTGTTAGAATGAAATAAGGGTCTTTGTGTTTAGAGGCACATCCTACCATGACTAATGTTTTGCCTAAGGGAAATTCCCAAAGAGTGAGCAGAGCTGTAGCAATCTCTATGAATTTTGATTATGTAAAAAAGAATTGCAGGCAATAGTTGGCTAATGTAGTTAATTTCGCTGAATTAATTTTGGTAGTGCCTTTGTGACATTAAAAAAAAATATTGATAAGATCTTTCCCACCTCATTGTCCTCAGGTCAGAAAATCAAAAGAAAAAACATTTTTTACCTTTAATTTTGAAAATCTTCCAGCTTCTTATACACCAAGTTGAAAACCCACACATTATAATCAGAGAGGCACGATTGCTAGATGTTGTCCCATTTCATAATTGCATATAGCAAGGAGTAATACAGATACATTTTGTAGTCTTATTGAGTGCTGTGTGACTAGTGTTTGAAGTTAATACTTTTACAGATGATTATTACAGGTTATTCCTCAAGTGACATCAAAGCACATAATTGGTGTTGCTAACTGTAATACAAAGAATTTAAGAAATCAGTGGCTTTTTGTTAGCAATATTGAACAGAAAAGGTGAATATGTCTTAAAAGAACATTAATATGATGGTCAATGATTGTAAGGAATGTAAGACAAAATTCTTCAGAAAAAAAAATTATAATTAGGTAAGTTAGAAAAAAGAGTACCAAAAGCAAAAAAAAAAAAGCATATCTATTCAAGTGATTTGTAATTGACTTTGGCCAAAAGAAGTCAAATGGGCAAAAACATTAAGATATTGAAAAGCAATCATGTATTTATTATCCAGAATGTTAACTGTATTCATAACAAATGTAATAGATCATAGGTGAACCTCTTTTTTGCATTAAACTATTTAATATTTCTATTTAAGTTATAGAAAAGAATGCTATTTAGTTGGCTCATGAGGCTATCAGATTTTCATACAGAAGGCAATAACTTAAGGATTCTGAGTTGTTTCCTTAGAAGAAAAGAACAGAATGCTTTTGGGATAATATTATGTTGATTTTTAGACCAGTTATCCTTGAAATAGGATCTAAACTTGTCCTTAGAGCCTGTATATACCTTATGGAATGCTCCTGGGTTCACTGTGCAAGTTTTCTTGCTGCCTCCCAGATAAATGCACAACAGTGAAAGGTGACTTGAAGTACAGCACCGCAATCTTTCCCCATCACTTCAATCAAATAACCCCTACTTGACTGGTTTGGCTTAGAGAAAGATAATTGGGTTTTTAGAGTGTGTCAGAAAAACAATGTCAGAAAGTTGTTGGTGATGAGATTATTGAATTTTCACGTGACCATTCTAGATGAATAGGTATTTGCTTTTTATGTGTGCTCTGACTCTCTGAACACAGGTTTATATGCTAGTGAACATGAAATGATAGAATTCTCGATTCTTGGTGAAGTAAGGAGGGGGGCGTCCGAAAATAGATATCTAAAATAGGTTAGATGAAGGCCACTGTAAAATGCTTATTTCACTCTGTTAACTATAAAGGAAGGAGAAAGTTTTTAGGCATTAAAGAGTAGACCTTTAAAGATTAGAGGTATAGACATCTTAAGTTTGGTAAGTCCCACCTAAGTGAGGTAAGTCCCACCCACTTCCCTCCATTGGTGTTTATTCTCTCCTGCTAAAGCACTGGGACATTTTATCTCTTGTTCTCTGACCTTGCTAATAGCAAAGTAAGAGACAATGGGTTATTTTTGCACTCATTCCTGTTGATTTAAGGATTTATGACTGTAGACAATTTACAGGAGAAAAGCCTGCCACTCTATGAAAGGACTATTCTAGCTGAGAGTCAAGTCTACGCTCTCTTACTTGCACCTGATTTCCAAACATAACTGTCAAAACATCAGCAACTTCACCTTAGGATTACAGAACTTTTATTTAAATAAAACTTTTTTTTTAAATCAGTGGAAACATCATGTGCAGGAAACATCAAAACGCCATGAATTCTTGCTTCAACAGTTAGAGATGTGTGAAAGCCTAGGATTAGCATGTTCCCTTTCCATTTCCAGTATTTATCTGGAATTAGCAGTATTTTTTTCTAGTGGTAATTTGCAAGGAAATCACTTTTGCTTTTTCCAGTTTACAAGTGGGATGTTGGCTGCACACCAACCACAGAGATAGTATGAATATTAGGTGCATGTCAGCATCATTCAGTAGAGATTTCCACCCTCTCAGGGTAGTTTTCTGTAGGTGTGGAAGTAGATAGATGCATCTTCTCCATTTACCAGATTTATT